CGACTGCCACTAGGGGGAGGAATGCGACAATCGTATTCAAATGTTGGAGACAGTGGAAAGGCGGCTTAAGTGTGTGTTCTTGAAAACTATATGGATAATTTTGTTTGTAGGAACATGTTTTTGTTTAATTTTTGAATCAATTAATCCACAGGCTCTTATTTCTGAATGTTTTGTTTTTAATCAGGTGATGACGATGCCAAGAAAGACCAGAAGTTAAAGAAAAAGGATAAAAAGAAAGATGACGACCAGTCCAGTGAGAAAGATGGTAAGATTTGTTTACCAAAAAACTGAAAGTTTTTTTTTCTCTTTAAGCACATGTTGGTTTAAATTATCATTACTAAACCTGTTTTCCTCAACAGATGGCAGTGAAAGTGGGCGGCAGGTGAAGACTGTGCAAGAACGCTGGCGTGAGTCTTTGTTGGCCTGCTCCAGCTTGTCGCAGGTCTTCCTGCATCTCTCCACACTTGAGCGCAGTGTAGTCTGGGCCAAATCCATCCTCAATGCCCGTTGTAAGGTGTGCGTCTTTGTTGGCCTGCTCCAGCTTGTCGCAGGTCTTCCTGCATCTTTCCACACTTGAGCGCAGTGTAGTCTGGGCCAAATCCATCCTCAATGCCCGTTGTAAGGTGTGCCGTAGGAAAGGAGACGCTGAGAACATGCTTCTCTGTGACGCCTGTGACAGAGGCTATCACATCTTCTGTGTTCGGCCAAAACTGAAGGTGAGAACCATAGTTTTTGGAAGGTTTTATTTAGTGGACCCCTTAATAACTGTTCTTTTTCAGAAACCCTGACTTGCCATGCAGACGTAAAGTGTGTACGTATAAACTAACACATGCAGCCAAGGACAAAAAAAGGAAAGGAAAATAGACATGTATATCAGCAATCTGTTATTAAATTATTGTATATTTATTGGTAAATAGAAAATCTCTTAAACTTCTGAGTTTAAGACGAAAGTTTGATCTTCCTTCATTTGTTTTACAGGCTGTTCCTTCTGAAGACTGGTTCTGCCCTGAGTGCCGCCCCAAACAGCGCTCCCACAGAATCAACTCACGGCAGCGTTCCTCTATTGACTCTGAAGAAGATATGGAGGAAGAGGAGGAGTCTGAACAAGAGGAAGAAGAATCAGAAGAGGAAGAAGTTGAGTCGGAAGAAGAACAGTCAGAGGAGGAAAAGTTAGTGGACTTGGCTTTTTTTTTTTGATAATTTTTCTTGCAGGTTTACTCATTTCATGCAGAAGGATATTGTGAAAGTTGTTTTCTTTTTTCTCATTTATTTAACAGTGTGCCCAAGAAGGCTCCTGTCAAACTTCCTCTCCAGAGCAATAAAGGAGGTCGTTTGAACACCAGATCAAAACAGGCTGAATCAAGTCATTCCACGACTCGCTCGCAGCAGAACACACCCAAACAGAGCCAGCCTGCTTCTAATAAAGGAGGCTCCAAAAACTCAGGGAAGAAGTCTACCCCGGTGTCTAATTGCAAACCCCCTCCCCGGGCAGGAAGCCGCTCCAGTGCTCGTCTTAGTCTAGAGGTGCCCGCCGATGGCACAACAGCCAAATCCAACCAGTCCAGTCCTGCAGCAGAAAATACAGACTCTAGGAAGAGACCCATTACTGGTAAGGAGTTTCAGTGAATTCACTCAAAAAAGGGGGGAAAAAAACAAAAATCTGATTAACATAAAGGAAATTTAATTTACTGCATCACATCAAAGTAGGATACTCTGGAAGCTTGTTTCCGCCACAGAATGCAAAATAAAATGTACTCAAAATTGTATGTATACATCTCACAATTTTATTTCTGGCATGGAATAAAAATAAAAATGGTAATCTCACAATTTGGACTACTTTTCGTGAAATTGCAAGTTTATATGTAACAATTCTGACTTTTTCTTAGAATTGAGAGTTTGTCTCTCAATCGCAAGTTATAAAATATTTACATCTCGCAATTGACTTTCTCAGAATTCTGACATTGTAATTACTTTTTTTCTTTGTTTAGGAACATAATGAAAAATAAAAAAGCTAATTGAGACTTTTTGTCTCACAATTCTGACTTGTTCTCTTTTTTTTTTGCAAAAAAATTAAATGGAGATAAAAACTAAGATTTGAGTAAAAGTCACAATTGTGAGATAAAAAGACATGATTGCCATTTTTATCTTGTGACAGAAAAAAGGTGTTATAGGATACAGTATGAAAAAGGGAACAAATGGAACAAAATTCCATGTAAATGCCAATGTTTTTTCCCTAAATTTTATATCGGGCTTGGATTGAAGAAAATGACACAAAAAAAATGGCATACTTGATATTTAACTGAATGCAGACACCTGTTGTTTTTCCCGTTTCATTTTCTCCAAGACTTCTTGTTCACATGTATTTTGGTTTGCCACTGTTTCTCCAGCAGAGGTCTCCCCAAAAGCCAAGATCGTCTTGGCTCCAACCACCACTTCATCCAACCGTCGAATCTCAGTGAGAAACTTAGGCGTACACGAGCTGTCAGCCTGTGAGCTGCTCACTGTGGACCTGGTCAGACACGAGGACAGCTGGCCCTTCAAGAAACTGGTGTCTAGAACTCAGGTAGTGCATTTAGAAGTACACACTTATACCTCTCTGTAACAAGGCCATGGAGCTCCCATTCATGCTTACTTTACGACCAGCTGTACTCCTAAATAATCTGTGCAGTTGTTCTGTGACATCTCACTATCCCAGTTTTGCACCGAGGCATTATTTTCATGGTTTTAATGACTTTTATATTTTTATTGCACACATTTTTCCAGGTGCCCGATTACTATGACATAATCAAAAAACCCATCGCCTTGAGCACAATCAGGGAAAAGGTCAACAACTGTGAATACCAAACTGCTGGTAAGAATTGAAGGTTGAAGTTTTTTTTCTTTTTAAACAAGTTGAAATATCCACTCGAGTATATCAAGACGTAATTTAGAATGAACCATATCTAAACCACTTTAATAGCTTGATAGTCGCACAACATGAATCATTGCTAAATGTAGTTTCTTTTGTGTTATTAATCTCATAGCGGAGTATATTAAGGATGTGGAGCTCATGTTTTCCAACTGTCTGGAGTACAACCCAAGTAACACCAACGAAGCAAAAGCCGGTCTACGGCTCCAGGCCTTCTTCCATTCTGAGCTTCAGAGACTCGGCCTGACTGAACGCATGACCCCTCCACAGAAACAGCCACGGATGTAAACAAAAGCCCGTCTTCCACACAAATACACCAACTGGCTCAGAATGAAGGCCAGTTCATAATCCGCTGTCTAATTATGTTGTTCCGTAGCATTTGTGGAATGTTCATGAACATTCCAGTGTGGTGTGACTCATTAAAAATTCTACCTAGCTCTTGTTCACAGTTTTATTTGCAATGTTCAGTGTGCAAGCAAAACGGCACTCAAGCAGCGGATATCAAGCGGCGTGTATCTTCACAGCCAGTGACAGGACTATAAATCGGCCTTTAATCCTATGGAGCGAAGTATAAGTCCTTCACTAGCAGGAGAAAAGGAAAAACAACTGTGCTGTAAAGAAAAAAATATTTGCACTGTTTTCTGAAAAGTTATTTTTGTGTTCACGTAGTAACTCGGGACAAAAAGCCTTGTTTTTGTCTGCAATTTCAAAATGGTGCATTTTGGGTTTTTTTTTTTTTGTACTTCAACTGCATTTCTAGACTACTATTTTGTATAGATTTTTACAGACCGGAGTCTCCATTTTGACAATAAATTAAGTCTCGCAGCTCAAAGGAACTAATAGAATTTCTGTTTTGTAGTTGTAAAGATAAACTCAGTTCTTTTGTTCAGGTCCCTAGCTTGCATAAACACTACGTAGAAACCAAATCATCCTGTTTTGTTGCTTCCTTTTACAGTTTTTGGTATTTATTTAGATTTGGATATAATTTGCTTGCTTTATTTATAAAATTGTCTTTATAGGTTGTGTCTCTCCATCAGAAAGCTGTATGAATCAGTTTTCCTCTCATGGGTCTTAAGATTAATTTTACCTGATGTGTAAATCTTTTCTTTTTTTTTTCTCTATGTAAAATAAATTGTTAATATTTGGCTTGACCACTTGTGTTCATCACTGATTTTCAGTTATGCATAAATTGTATACATTTGGAGTTAGCTGCACTTTAAAATAGATTTTTACAGACCGGAGTCTCCATTTTGACAATAAATTAAGTCTCGCAGCTCAAAGGAACTAATAGAATTTCTGTTTTGTAGTTGTAAAGATAAACTCAGTTCTTTTGTTCAGGTCCCTAGCTTGCATAAACACTACGTAGAAACCAAATCATCCTGTTTTGTTGCTTCCTTTTACAGTTTTTGGTATTTATTTAGATTTGGATATAATTTGCTTGCTTTATTTATAAAATTGTCTTTATAGGTTGTGTCTCTCCATCAGAAAGCTGTATGAATCAGTTTTCCTCTCATGGGTCTTAAGATTAATTTTACCTGATGTGTAAATCTTTTTTTTTTTTTTTTCTCTATGTAAAATAAATTGTTAATATTTGGCTTGACCACTTGTGTTCATCACTGATTTTCAGTTATGCATAAATTGTATACATTTGGAGTTAGCTGCACTTTAAGTGAAGAAAAAAAAATTAACAAATATCGGCTTTTTCCATTTAAAATGTGTACACTGTATATAACGTAGCATACGGGTATTTGAAAGTTTATAACAAATCATCAGCTCATGTGCCTTCAACTACTAATGAGTAAGCTAATTTAGTCATGAACAGATATGATGAATATATTATCTCAGATATAACAATTGCTAGATATTGCTCTTATTTGAAGTCAAATGTCTTGGGTACTGTTCAAGACTTAGAAGTTTGTTAGACGGGTAACGTCATATTTTCAGTACATTTAAGTTATTGTTTTAAACAATATTATGCCAAGTTGTAATTCAAATGTGTGGCACATATTTGTCCGCTTCATTTCCAAGTGTCCCAATGACTGCACGTGCTCGATCAGCCCTTCACTGCGGCTGTGCAATGCTTTCTCTCTCTCTCTCTCTCACACACACACACACACTCACTCTCTCTCTCTCTCTCGCGCACTGTCTCGGCTGTTCACATTCCCAGATAGAAGTACCAAGAAAATAATCGTTCACTGATTCATTTCGTCGGACAGCATGGTAAGCATAGGTCTTCTCTCACACATCGTTCATTCTTAATTCATAACAGATGTTATAATGTTATTTTGAAACTCTTTCTGTCAAACTTTTGATTGGTAACGGTCACGTTTTCAGCTCCGGCAGGAATGTAACGCGGCGCTGTCGCGAGGTCCGTGATTGTATGCGCTCCGGTTAAAGAATATAAAGCTCTATACGGCTCTAAGTTGATTTTGTGGTTACCAAAATCTGTTTTAGTTTGATATGAATCTATATCTCAGGCCTGTAGCCCGAAGCGGCCATTTTAAGCTAATTCTCTCTCTCTCTCTCGCGCACTGTCTCGGCTGTTCACATTCCCAGATAGAAGTACCAAGAAAATAATCGTTCACTGATTCATTTCGTCGGACAGCATGGTAAGCATAGGTCTTCTCTCACACATCGTTCATTCTTAATTCATAACAGATGTTATAATGTTATTTTGAAACTCTTTCTGTCAAACTTGATTGGTAACGGTCACGTTTTCAGCTCCGGCAGGAATGTAACGCGGCGCTGTCGCGAGGTCCGTGATTGTATGCGCTCCGGTTAAAGAATATAAAGCTCCTTACGGCTCTAAGTTGATTTTGTGGTTACCAAAATCTGTTTTAGTTTGATATGAATCTATATCTCAGGCCTGTAGCCCGAAGCGGCCATTTTAAGCTAATTTTAGCCGGTGTTTTAATCACTCTGAGCGCGCGCCTCTCCAACTTTTTCTCACGGGTGCTGGAGAAATAAATCATCGGGACTTGAACTGATGGACTCCTACGATAATACTTAGATCAGAACGAGCTGTTTATTGCTGTCAGATGCCTAATGTGCGTCATGGGAAGTGAATTCGGCTACTTGTTCATGATTCAGTAGGATTTAGTGGCCGTAGTGTGAGTGAGAGAGTCGCAGCTCCACACCAGCTGCTCAGAGCGCGTGTGTGCGCCTGCGCCATGACTGCCTGTTCACTCACTGTTAACTACTTCACACTAACTAGTACTTTTGATACTAGTAACTATTACAAGAGTTGACACTACTTGTTTATTCAGTATTGAATATATGAAAAATGCACTAAATACTTAATTAAATAATATTACCTATTCAGTACTTTTTCTAACTACTAACCTCATGTTTAGCAGTACTTTAATAGTCAGTGGTCATTATTTTGTTACAAGTATGTGTAGTAATTGTAATTTATAATAGTTGTTTGTAAAAAAAACAAAACACTGTCAAGTAGCCATTTTTCTAGACATTATAATAAGTGCAAAATAAATTATTCTAAAAAGTTAAGAAAAATCAGATGCTGCTTATATCCAATAAAAGATACTAGTAAGAAACTAGGTTGATATTATTTTGTTTATTATTTATATGGTTTATATATTACTATCTATTAATTATTTGAGTTTTTTCTAAAAAAAAAAATCTTATTTTTAAAATGATAATGCTTCTAATTTAAAATTGTTTAAATATTTGTACTGGTAAACAAGACAAATACAAGCAAGTACGATTTATTTATTTATTTAAGTGCAATTGGAGTAGTTAATGGTATCCAAAGAATAAGTAGTACTAATATCTAATTAAGTTCTTATCTGAATCTATAGCAATCATCTTATTAATATCCCATTTTATTCCTCTAATATTTAATTTGAATCCTCTAATAATATCTAATAAGTGATATCATGAATAATTGCCAGTAAAAGTAGGTACTAGTCAGTTGCTAGGAGAAAAATAAAAATACATGGTAATAAGTTACCAGTGCGGTTTGAGGAATACATTTTAAAATGGCATGCGAGTAGTAATGTTCATTTGACATTAATCACTGTTTTGTTTCAATGGATTAATGCACCGTTCAAACTTCGAAGGGCCTCATTTGTGTTGAGGGTGAAGTGTCATTGATCATGAATCCAAATGTATTTAAAAAGTCTCAGGAGGAGCTAGTTGTATCGTGGCCCAGGCACCCCACTATGACTCCATTTTGGACCGGGAGTGAGATTTGAACTGTAGTGACAGACCAGCTGGCTATGCGCAGCACTTACGTGAGTCAGGGTTTGTGAGCAGCACTGGATCACTCAATGCCAGTGAGGTGATCCAGATCTCTAATATTACCTGGTGGATTCATACAGTTGTTATTTTTTACTATGGTTGATGCTGGTTAGAGTTTGGACATCCAAATATGTAGACGTGCTGTTTTCGTATCAGCTGTCTGTACTTATCTCAATCCCATCCTCATCGCAGGCCTCTGGTGTCACAGTCAGTGATGAAGTCATCAAAGTCTTCAATGACATGAAAGTACGGAAGTCCTCGTCCTCAGACGAGGTGAAAAAGCGCAAAAAGGCAGTGCTGTTCTGCCTCAGCGATGACAAGAAGAAGATCGTCGTAGAAGAGGGCAAGCATATCTTAGTCGGAGACATTGGAGACACTGTCGATGACCCCTACGCCTGCTTCGTGAAGCTCCTACCTCTTAACGACTGCAGATACGGCTTATACGATGCCACTTATGAAACTAAAGAGTCCAAGAAAGAAGACTTGGTATTCATATTTTGGTATGTAGTCTGACTGGCAAGATAATTATTAGGATTGCAAAGGGGCGTAAAATTTCTGGTAAATTTCTGGAAACTTTCCAAGATGTTTTGGAAATTTTCCGCCCCTTTGCAACCATAATAACAGATACATTTTTGTTTTTTTATTGTATTTATTTATTTATGCATTTTTTTATTATATGCATTTATTAATTTATTTATGCATTTTATTGGAATTTAGATTTTAGTTTAGGTAGTTTGAATTGTTATTCAATTGGTTTTATTAAATTTGTATATTTGGAAAAGCACTATAAATGTTTTAATTTTTTTATTTTAAGTATTAGTTCCATTTTTTTATTTCTTATGACTTGTTTGATCTGTCTATAGCAACACATACAAGAAGTAAACTTGTCTAACTGGTTGAATTGTTGTTGTTGTTGTTGTTGTTTTTGTTTTTAGAATGCACTGATAGTTTAACGTCAGGCTTCTGAAATGAATTAAACCAGACCATCCAACATAATTATTTTTTTAATTAATTATTTTTATTTTAATTGATGGAATTATAGTTTTCATTTATATAAAAGCTTCAGTTAACAATAATAAATTGTTGCTTTTCAGTTCTGCTATACACAAAATACACAAGTCAATTCATTTTTCTTTCTTTCTTTCTCTGCATGTGTACTCAGCATTGATGTTTTTGATTACAGGGCCCCTGAAGGTGCGCCGTTAAAAAGCAAGATGATTTACGCTAGCTCAAAAGATGCCATTAAGAAGAAGTTTACAGGTGAGTACAGTCATATTCACTAATAATACCCATAATGCGTCTTTATAAAACAGATAGTATCTGGATGCTGGGTCCTGAGTGATGATTGTTCAATACATTGCTATGACACCAAATAACTAATATATAACCAGTATGTATATATATATATATATATATATAAAATACTCTAAAATATAAAAAATATTATAGTTAATATATATATTAAAGATAGGTTAACTATTTACTGTTATATGTATTATATATTAAAGGTAATGGTTAATCTATATGGGTAATGTAACTGACACAAGAAATGTTTTGAATATATATATATATATATATATATGACATTTAAAATGTTAAATATTGTTCAATTATATTATATTATTATATATTAAAGTTAGTAGTTAATATACAAGATGTATAAATAGAACAAATATATAAAATACAGACCGTAAAATAGAAAAAAAGTAAAAAAATAAGTTATGTATATATAAAATATATATATACAGTAGATAGAATCTATCACAATAAGATCAGAAACAAAGAAAGCACACATAAGTTCATATTCACATTGAAACAAAACACTCCAGTAGTACACTACTTTTTATTTGAAATCTAATGCAATCACGCGTTCTTTTCCAGGTATCAAACACGAATGGCAGGTTAATGGTTTAGACGACATTCAGGACCGCTCAACCCTGGCAGAGAAGTTGGGTGGAAATGTGGTCGTATCGCTGGAGGGGAGACCATTGTAAACTCAGCAGCCATGTGCCATCTGGATTCCACACGCTTTCATCTTAGCAGCTGTCTCTATCATTTGATCCTGAAGGAATAATCCTAGTTTGTCTTTATTTCTTTTTTTCCCCCTAATTTCTCAAGGAGATCTCATTAACATATGTAAGAAAAAATCTACCAGCTGAATGCTAGCTTACTTTTGCAGTTAGCTTTTATACGTCCCCAAAGAACTTTCTGTCTCCCTCCTTGTGTTTTGCCAAACGACAGTAGAAAGCTCGGATGATCAGATACTAAGAGTTGATATTGGCTGAGATATTCTATTATGCTGTAAGAGAACTATATGAGAATGCTGTACGTTAATGCCTCACAGCTATGCGTTAACCGGTGACAAGCACTTTTCACGTTTGAAACTATTTATTTGAACTCTTCTACCTAATCTGGCTCATTTGACAATAGCGAACACATTAAGTCTATGCAGATAAACGAAGCACTTTTGGTTTTTACACTACCAGTTGAAGGAGGACTATGGAATTTGTGTGTGTGTCAGCCCGGAATAGAAGTTACCACAGTTTTCATTGCTGTTACGCATATGGACATAAACAGATGGGTTCTGAACTCTTCCACTGCAGCCTGTGATTCAAACGCACCTCTGAACGTGAAGCCGAGCTGCTTGGAATGATTTTTCTTTTTTTAACACTACATGAAAACACAATATTATCTGTAAAGTTGGCAATATTTGCAGCCTGAAGTGAAACATGGTTTTTGAGATCGAGGAAGGTGCCACTCTGAAATAAAAGCTTGTGGCAGAATTCTTGGCTCAGGTAAACGGTGGCTGATTTTAGCAGGGTGTGAGACGTGATGATGTTCTGAGCTGGGTTTACTTCAGAACCACCTTCATTGAAGGAGTTGTTTAATGAAAAATATTTCATATTTATTATATTTTATAATTATTATTTATTATAATATAATTTATTATAGTATTCGTACGTTTTTTAATGTTCTGAGTCAAGGCTAACTCTTAAAGACTCATCTATCTATCCATCATCCATCGTTCTGTCATCTATCTATCTGTCTGTCTATCTAGCTAGCTATCTATCTATCATTCTGTCCTATCTGTCTATATATCTATCAATCATTCTGTCCTATTTATCTGTCTATCAATCTATCAATCATTCTGTCCTATCTATCTGTCTATCTATCTATCTGTCTGTCTATCTATATCATTCTGTCCTATCTATCTGTCTATCTATCTATCTATCAATCATTCTGTCTTATCTATCTACCTATCTATCAATCTATCAATCATTCTGTCCTATCTATCTATCAATCTATCAATCATTCTGTCCTATCTATCTATCAATCATTCTGTCCTATCTATCTATCTATCATTCTGTCCTATCTATCTGTCTATCTATCATTCTGTCCTATCTATCTATCTATCTTTCTATCATTCTGTCCTATCTATCTGTCTATCTATCTATCATTCTGTCCTATCTATCATTCTGTCCTTCCTACCTATCTATCTGTCTGTCTATCTATCTATCTATCATTCTGTCCTATCTATCTGTCTATCATTCTGTCACACACACACACACACTCACTCTATCTATCTATCTGTCTGTCTGTCTGTCTATCTATCTGTCTATCTATCTATCTATCTATCATTCTGTCCTATCTATCTGTCTATCATTCTGTCCTATCTATCTATTATTCTGTCCTATCTATCTATCTATCTATCTGTCTATCTATCTATCAATCCCTTAATGCTCTATAGATATAGAGTACGTAAGGTCAATACAAACTTAAAGACTTTTTAATTCTGCTTTAGGCTATATTGAACAAACTTTACTATACTTGAAAACTTTGATTTTCTAGTTATTGAATGGTTTGTTAGTGTTTGGTTAAGCTTTTTTAGGCATTCTGATTCTAGCATACCAATCAAGTAAATCATTGAACTCACTAATAGAAAATCATTTACATACATCTTTAGATTGAGGGCAGCACTTAGTAAAGTTAAAATGAGCAGCCCAGCCTCCTTCACTACTTCTTACAGGCCAGGCGGTTTCTATGAGCGTGGTCTTGCAGTAGATCTGGGCTTGAGGCCAGTGGCTGCTTTTCCCTTTGGAGAATTTGATCCGCAGGCAGGGAGCAATCCTCTGCTGCTAGGCGCTATTTATGGCCAGCATGCTTTTGTGTCTTGTCATCGTTGTGCACAAATGGCAAAACTGAACATGCTTCCAAAGAGCTACAAAAAGGACGCTGGTGGACAGGCTGGGCAGCGGTTATAAAGAGCGGTTTTCACTCTTCAGAGAAGTAGCACGAATGAAAGGAAGGTCTCTGTTTCAGTGAAAAACACAGGGGGCTGCTCTCAAATATCACAGACCATTTTAAAATACAATGTGTAGATTGTTACAAATCTAATCCCTAAAAACCCCTCACATAAAAGCTCTCAGGGAAGGAAAGTACTGGCCTTCATCTGTGCTGTTTATTATAGTTTAGTTATGAACACACTGCAGTCTCCTCTAGGAAATTTCTAGTAGTGGTTATGAAACTAGATCTCAGTGCATGTAGGCACATTGTGGGGGTGAAGGCCTGGATATCATATGATATTCATCTAAAATGGGGTTAACAAGGGCAAATGACAGTATCTAGAGAGCAGGGTGACTGATGGCTATGTAATGCAAATATACATAATACAGTTCATTGATAGCAAATGATATATACACAAAATTACTAATAATAAATGAATAATGAAATGAAAAAAATATATATTCTAAATGCATCATATATTTTTTTAAATATTGTTTACTTATGTTTATTATTACTTTGGAACTGACATACAAGTTATTGACCTTTAATTGGCCTGGTTGATATATTAATCTGTCATCAGAAAATGATTTTGGTTGATTATAAACTCACACAGAAACATCTCTTAACTACACACCACTGTTCAAAAGTTTGTGATCGTTAAGATTTGTTCAAAGTTTTTGAAAGAAGTCTCTTATTCTCACCAAGGCTGCATTTATTTGATCAAAAAATACAGGAAAACAGTAATAGTGTGACTACTGATATTATTATATCAGTATATTAATTATATTATTACAAAATATTATTACAATTTAAAAGAACTGTTTTCTGTTTTAATATATTTACTCCAGTCATCATTACTCCAGTCTTCAGTGTCACATGATCCTTCAGAAATCATTCTAATATGCTGATTTGGTGCTCAAGAAACATTTATTATTTAAAAAAATAAATAAAAAAGACACATTATTATATGTTGGCAAGGATGCCTCATCATGCACTGTTACAGACAAACAATAGAGCAATCTCTACTCAAAAGACACCATGCAGACAGCAAGAAAAATACATGTTTATTTACTTGCAATCTTAAAAGTTGCATCTACTTTGGGCTCACATAGCCAACTTATTAGTCAGAGCTTTTATGTCCACCACTGCCCGAAACAAAGTGCCTTTCATGTAAGCCCTGAATCTCTGTGTCTGGACAAGTGTGCTGAAAATAAACAAATGACCTCTCCTTACTCTCCAGTAGGTTCTGTGCAGTGAAAGGGTGTGTGCACTGCGCTCAGAGTATTGATAGCTTACTGCTGCAAAGCATGTGAGAATGTGCGACATGTTGTTAAAAACATTTCACGAATACGGTCAACAAGCTTAGCTGTTCCTTCTCATTTAACCTGAAAATCTGTGAGTTTAAAGGAATAGTTAAGCCAAAAAGGAAAATTTGCTGAAAATGTACTCACCTTCAGGCCAGATGTAGATGAGTTTGTTTCTTCATCGGAACAGATTTAGCAGTACATCACTTGCTCACCAGTGGATCCTCTGCAGTGAATGGGTGCCGTCAGAATGAGAGTCCAAACAGCTGATAAATCACAAGTAATCCACACAACTCCAGTCCATCACTTAATGTCTTGAGAAGCAAAAATCTGCATGTTTGTAAAAAACAAAAACCAATCCATCATTAAGATGTAAAAATACGAGTCCAGATTCAGGAGGGAAATATGCCCAGAAATAAACACCATTTACAAGTGAAAATAGTCCAAAACAGTTTAAAACAAATATGGTGGTGGATTTTGATGTGAAATGACCACAGGGGACGGACTTTTTCACTAGAGGAAGGGTTATTATGTTCTATGAACAGAAGCAGCAGTTATTTCATTTTCACAGATATTTCATTGCCATTTCAGTTAACTGAACTTTTCGTTCAGTTAATTTTGCAGTGGTTTGTTGTGTCTATTGCAGTGCAACGACCTGATGAGGGCATATCAATGTGTTATTGCATATCACAGGGTCACAAGATTTCACTTGAGGACAACGTTACTCAATATGTTATTATGATGCTCACGTCTGTGATGTTGATGCCTGTATATCATTTCTCAACATGTTTTGATGTCCTGAGCCGGTGTAATTAATACAAGGTTATATGATTTGATATGCTCTTTAACTTTATAATGACAAGCATTTGGTGTACAGAAATCACTGTGTACCGTTTTATGATGGTGGGTTTTCCGAAGGCCCAAAATTGACACTTGACCATTGGCTGCTCATTACCTAAAGTCTATTAGTATGCACAAACTATAACACGGGCCAAAGCGGTGAGCTGCAGTGTGGCATGGCAGAAATTATTATTCTCTTATCTGGATTCTTGCCATAAAAATAATTATCCAGCAGTGCTGGATTCTTTCAAACTCATCTGACTTGAACTAATGAATTAGTGGGGTGTTTCCATAAGAACAGCATCGCACTCCAGCAGCAGCAGGTGATGATCAGCAGTTGATCTCTCCGTGACTAAAGTGAGTTTGTCACTCTCTAGTGGTCAGTAATCACATCAACACACAATCATAGAAACACATCGGTGACAATTGTTGCAGTGACCCTTATTCTGTACAGACTTTGTTAGTGAATATTTCACTTATAAGACTGTAATGAAGTTACAAATTTAATAATAATAATGTATTTTATTTATTTACATAGGAATATGTAGCCTATAACCTATATGTATATGTAGATAGAGACCAATATACATGACATATCTGATTAATTTGAAAATGAATAAGAAACCTAAAAGAGTTAAGCCGAATCTAATATATATAAATTGCAATCGAATCACAAATAATCATAATTAAACGTTATTTTTTTTATTCATATAGTAAAAAAAGTGTTTACAAAGTGCTTTACAAGAGTATATACAAATATAGGCCTACATAACATCGGAATGATAAGATAACAAGAAAAAAACAAACATATAATATAATAAATATTATATAATGTTCAAATTAATAATAACAATAATAATAATAAACGTTATTTATTTTAATAATATAGTAAAAACAGTCCATGTTTTGCTTACATGTATGCGTAGAGACAAATATACATAAAATATGTGAATAATAAAATAACAAGAAAAATAAAAGAGTAAAGCCAAACCTATAATATAATATAGATTTCAATCTAATAGTAATAATAAAACAACAACCACAACAACAATAATAATAACAACCGTTTGGGGGCGTGTTAGAACGAGCCGTTTTAGGGGGGCGTGGCAGAGTCTTAACTTTGATAAAGAATATCTCTTTGGTTTTGAGACTTTAGTCTTTGCAACTTCAGGGATCTTATCTATACACAATCAGCTTGTAACACTCCAAAGAGAGAGGAAAACTTGAAATCGCATCATATGACCCCTTTAATATAGTACAAAACAATGCTTACAAACTGATTTACAAGGAATATGTTTAGCCTATATGTAAATACAAATCTGCGTGACGTACATGGATAACAAGAAAATTAAGAGCAAAGCCAAACAATAAAAATTATATAATAATAATAATAATATCTAAAAAAGCTCATAAATGAGCAAACCTTGAGCAGCTTGTCGGTTTGTACTTTTAGGCTCCGCCTCTCAGAGCGCCTATCCCAGTGACGTCACACGCACTCCGCCACATTCATAGTTCATACTCCACCCGCAGCAGCCATGATGGTGGGTGCTTTTCTCTCTTACTCCCTCCACCCTTATTATTTACACCTACAATCCTCCGATGCGTCGAGTAATAACGAGCATCTGTCGTCTTTGCGCTCCGACCGTTCGTTCTGATCTTTCTGTGTGTTTCTCCACAGCAAGAAGGGCTGGACGATGGTCCCGATTTCCTCTCGGAGGAGGACAGAGGAGTAAGTTTTTTTTCCCCTTTCCTCATTCCCGTTCTGTCTCTGTCCTCCTACTGTGTGCTGTGCATGTCTGTTGTGTGTGTTTGTGGTCGGAGGACGTGTGTATTACTGCTGGTGTCACTGTGGCCCTGTGTGTGTGTCCTATTTGAGTCAGACCTCACACACACTAACCCTCGGATGCACAATGACTCGCCTCAGACTCTCTAGTTTGATGACAATACCAGAAACTAGGGCAAGAACCCACAACCCACATCGTGCCACTGACCATGAGCTCATCTAGCTGGTTAAATAACCTTGTTAAAGTTAAAGAATAAGCGAACGGTGTGTCAGTCAGGCTGTCATCGAGCTGAAGGTTTATATGTTTGCATTTGTGCAAATTCTCTGGTGAATATTACTGTATTAAAACACTGTTGCTTTACATAATTACGTGACTAATTCTTATCTGGATAAAAGTTGAGACAGTGTTACTTTGTAATGTAACATCAAATGAAACAATTGCTATATATAGTTTCCTAATTTTAAAGGGGTCATATGATGCTTTTTTAAAGATCATTATTTGGTGTAACAGAATATGTTGACATGCTTTAATGTTCAAAAAACACATTATTCTTCAAATACTGTACATTATTGTAGGTCCTCTATGCCCCGCCTCTCAAACGCTTCGGTTTCTACAAAGTCCCTCCTTCCGACAAGCGCAGTCTGCTCTGATTGGCCAGCTGACCCAGTGCATTGTGATTGGCCGAACACCGCAAGCACTCGTCGGAAATGTAACGCCCCTTACCATAATCGCCAGCTTCATCTTTCAAAATAAATGTAAAGACAGAGTACTGAAACCACGCCTTCTTTCTTTGCGTGCACATTTGGGCGCATTATGCAAATATTTCCACATAGTGAGGTAGATATGTGGGGGCGTGTTAGAACGAGCCGTTTTAGGGGGGCGTGGCAGAGTCTTAACTTTGATAAAGAATATCTTTTTGGGTTTGAGACTTTAGTCTTTGCAACTTCAGGGATCGTATCTATGCACAATCAGCTTGTAACACTCCAAAGAGAGAGGAAAACTTGAAATCGCATCATATGACCCCTTTAATACTTGGATTATTTTTATTTAGATATACCTCACAAAAAAATACTGCACTGTAGCAGTGCCATGTATTTTAATGTATACCATGCTACTGTATGTAGTACTAAAAGGTCATTTTAAGAATACCCTGTTACTTTCATGATATGTTGTCAGTTTTGTAAGGAATGTGGTTGTATAGAAAAACTGGATTTAAAATAATGTTTACAATTAAAATAATGTTGCATTGAAAATTAACGGACATTTACTTTAACCATAGTTACTTTCTACCAAAATATAATATTTACTACAGATTTTATTACTGCAAAACTCTTTTATAGTTTAATATGATAGTTAAAAAAAATCTCATAATTTAATTATGTAATATTTTATTGTATAATTTTTCAATATTATAATCATTTTACTGTCAAAATTATGAGAACTGCCTAACATTTCAGTGCAGTGCTGTTTTGTATGAGATTTGACATTTATTATATCTATATTGTAGTTGATGAATAACTTCTTAGACATTAATTTTTTTAGCGTTTAGGATTTTAGGTTAAATGCATATATTTGTATAAGGGAAAGTGTATATTTTAGGTGCAATTGTTTCAACGTTTTTCATCGTTAATAACTCTGACAAATGAATTTTAGAAAATACAAATATTCCATCTTTCCTGAGAAAAATAGTGTTAGAAATTGAATATGGCACTGCGGTCACTGCTTATCATATCGTGTCTTCTACTTAAATGCAACAAAATGTATTCTGTTTTGTAATTAGATCAAACTTAAACTTTTTGTGTAATATTCAAAAATGGGTGCAGCATGATCCTCGCTGTTTGAGCTATTGATGTTATTAAATTACACTGTATTTATGCAATTATTTTAATAGCCAAGGGCAGTGAATGTGGATCTTCAAACTGACGCTACACTCCAGGTGGACATTTCAGATGCTCTGAGTTTATGTGACTCCGCTTTAGAAATTAGGGGGTGGAGAGAGAGGCCACGACGTCAGCCACCTTTTTGAGAAATTATTTACTTTGGCTTGAGCTTCTTTGTGTTTAGCTGTAGGTGGAATGATGGTTTATGACTCCCTGGTGAACGCTTCGCTAGTAGTGGAATGCACAATGGCCAAAACCAAAAATGTAAAGTTTTTTATTTTAAAGAAATTAATCCTTTTATTCAGCGAGGATACATCAATTTGATCAAAAGTGACCGTAAAGACATTTATAATGTTTTTTTTATTTTAATTTTTTTCAATTAATGTTCTTCTAAACCTCCTTTTCTTTAGAATCTTGAAAAAATCTATCACAGATCTTACTAAAATATTAATCTGCACAACTGATTTCAACATTGATAATAATAAGAAAGCAGCAAAGCATCATATTAGAATGATTTCTGAAGGATCATGTGACACAAGATGTGGTGTAATGATGCAGAATATTTCAGCTTTGACCACAGGAATGAATGACATCTTAAAATATATTAAAATAGAACATTTTTATTTTAAATTGTAAACGTATTTCACAGTGTTACTGTGTTTTTGGCCTGCTGTCCTGTTTTTATTAGCTTATTTCGATTAGCGATATTTCGATATTAAGTATCAAAGAAGTCTTTTGAAGTCTATCTGATTTAATATAGTTTCATCTGAAATACTCGGATTAATACTCGGCACTGACTGCCATTTACAATATCATCAAAGCAAGCCTGAATTATTTATAGCACTTTGCATTAGGCACAGCAGTGTGAGCGATTGCTATTATGAATCCCAGAGTCTCATTACCAGCCCCCTCTGAAGGCAGTTTTGAGAGTCATAATGCCACTTGAATATCTAACATAAAGACTTTCCCTGTAGATTCCTCCTGCTCCTCCGAAACCAGATTTCGATGCATCTCGGGAGAAACTTCAGAAGCTAGGTGAAGGTGAAGGATCTATGACCAAGGAGGAGTTCACTAAGATGAAACAGGAGCTGGAGGCGTGAGTTGATCGATTGTTAGTGCATTGCTAGTTGCACGACTTCATCATTACTAATATGAAAATGTGTTGCAGTGAATATCTGGCCATCTTCAAGAAGACCGTGGCAATGCATGAGGTCTTTCTGTGCCGTGTTGCTGCCCACCCGGTCCTGCGCAAAGACTTGAACTTTCATGTTTTCTTAGAGTACAACCAAGACGTAAGTGTGCCATTTTTAACTTTGACATTATTGTTGTAAAATGTTTGGAAAATTGTAAGTACAAGTACAATATTGTTTTTAATTATTGCTTTTATGTATTGTCATGCATGTTATTATTTACTTTATTTTAACCATTGTTTTTTTAAGGCAATGAATCTTGAATATTGAATATAGATTATTTGATCATGAATTTAATCGTTCATTTAATCTCCAATGAATTCAAAATGTTTCTTAAAATCTCCTTTAAAGGGTTAGTTCACCCAAAAATGAAAATTAGGCTGTGTTTTACTCACCCCCGAGGCATTCTAGGCGTATATGACTTTCTTCTTTCAGATGAATCCAGTCGGAGTTACAT